TTGGCTCTGCCATTAAACCAAAAAAAGTTGCAAAAAACATTTGGACCTTAGCTAACTTGCGTAGCTAGGCTATCTGCAAACTATTGCTCTATTTTGACAGTAGCAATCCCAAAACTGTCCGTAAAAGAAGACATTTTATGGTTATTTTAGCTATACTATAAGGTTTCACCACATGAAAACAAGCTAGCATAGCTAGTAGCATCTGCATTCACACAGGCTACTTTCACACTGTATGAATTATATTTAGGGCCTAATAACACTTCAGAAGAATTGTGAATGCACCCTCCCATTTTCTGAAACAACATCTGTGGAATACAGTAGGCAGCCAACTTTTACATAGCATGTCTGAGTTAAATAGCGTTGCACAGATCAGATGCTCCCCAAATGAAAAACAGGCGGAAATTAATACCAATCTGGGAGTGACTGAGGCGGAATTCATGGCACATAGTCAACATCCCCAGAGCAGCAGCAGCTGTAGCTGTTATGTTTAGGTTTGTAGAGGAATGATTTGCACCTTAGCTGCAGAGCTAAAGAATGGCTGTTGTTAATTAGCTATGCAAAGGGATTCTGAGGACATGGGTTCCCTCTATTGGCACGGGGCATTCGGCTGATGAGCCTGAACTAAATATTTTCTGTCACACGTAAAACAGGATTTCATCTCTATTTCTCTCTCTCCTTTCCTTGTAATGCAAACATGGTTAGCGCTGTACTCATTTTGACATGGGGGTGGTGAGATCCAGACAAAACTACGGGCGAATCAACATCATGTCCTATTTAATAAACATCTGATTAATTTTACACGATTATGCTCGTCTGAGCCCAAGCCAAGACTGCTAGGTTCAGTATGAGTAATCTGTGGCTAACCAGAGAGGAAGAAGAGAGCAGTTAAATCACAGTAACACCAATCCGGACACACAATTATACCATAATTATCATCCTTAAGCTTAAATGTCACAATAAAACACATTAAGGCATTTCTAAGTTGCCCATATTTGCATATTTTGTACTTGGCTGTGTATATAAGCAGTTAAATCACAGTAACACCAATCCGGACACACAATTATACCCTAATTGTCATCCTTAAGCTTAAATGTCACAATAAAACACATTAAGGCATTTCTAAGTTGCCCATATTTGCATATTTTGTACTTGGCTGTGTATATAAGCACATTCACAGTGACGAAGGGCAGACTAAACAGCATCGGTTTACTCAGTCCACTCAGCCTAATGTACACATGTGCCTAGTGCTTGGCTAACTTTAGTTATCACATTTCTTCATCTCTCTCTCTCTCTCTCTCTCTCTCTCTCTCTCTCTCAGACACAGACAAGACTGCGGAAGAGCACAACACACAGACACCAAATTACACAAATAATTTTATGTAATATGTAAATGTTTCTTAATGAACTATGGCTAGAAAACAGCGAACCCCAGTCCATGCTTGCAACCAAAAACTATCCATAATATAATATTAATAGAAAATATTCCCAATGCCCTGAATCCTTTCAAACTTTAAATTATAATGAATACAGCTTTTTTTCTTCTTCTCTTTCTCTTTATTAGATATTTTCAGTTCCATCAATACAAGACATAAAAATGGAATGAAAAAAGGAATGATAAAAAAGGAACAATATTGTCACCCAACATATAAAAATGACATTAAAGGGTAGGATCTAATTAATAACAAACCATGACAAGGACTAGTTCTCAAACAGGGGGCCAAACTTCAGCAAACTTCAAAGGGGTGACCTAAGATTATTTATTGATTATTATAAGATTATATAAGATTATTTAATGAACAGTTCTTAAAACTTCTGGAATCACAATTATTTTTGTGATTCCGGAAGTAAATAAAAAATGTTTGAAAACCAGCAGCTTTGTTTTAATTACAGTATAGAACATGCTAAGTTTGTGACCAGCAGTCCATTTTGAAGTTCCAGGTTTTAAGAGCCTTCTAAATATGTTTTTTCCTGCATAATGGTGAAGTTATGACATCTAACGTTACCAATAGAAACTAACTGCTTAAGCTAACCAGCCAAACCTTGACCCCTTGTAGTCCGAAATCTGTGAGCTAGGGGAACATTTTGATTGGATGGCCACTGACTACTTACTCAACACTATGGGTTAGAAGTAGAACTAAAACTAAGACACATTAAACTTCTTGTTATTTCACATCTGAGTGAACCGCTGGCTACACAAGTCTACCTCTAATCTGAAGAACACATCATCAATCAGCAGTGCTGGCCTTCAGCCAATCAGAGCCCAGCGCGAGTCAGAGCACGTCCAACACTCGATCCCGAGCACCCATAGTGTTTATCTCTGAGCAGAAAGCGACTAGAAGACGAGTCATTGTGGACACTGTGTACCTTCACACTCCCTCCCTCCTTGTCTTCACACACAAACGTGAACACAGACCCATACAAAATACATACAGGGGAAATTCCAGACAGATTTGAATGTGTTATCAACCAAGGTATGATATGGATACCATCAGAACATCGTTTCAGTTTCAGGAGCCATTTACACTCTTAAAAAATAAGGTTCCAAAAGAGGGTTTTTGCTGTGATGCCACATAAGAACCATTTTGGTTCCACAAATAACCTTTCAGTGAACAAATTTTCTTCGTGTGAACAACATTTCTAAATCTAAAGAACCCTTTTCCACTATAAACAATCATGAATAGAAAGGCTCCGTCAATATTAAAGGTTGTTAATGGAACCACAGATGCCACAAATAACCTTTATTTTTGAAAGTCTATAAGAATAGACCATTTACGCTGAGAAAAGATATATTCATGAACCATTCCAGCATGTTCTTTCACACACACACACACACACACATGAACATATCACACTCACTGTTGAACTTCCTGTGACGGGCCCGGGCCCTCCAGGGCCGGTTGCGGATCCAGTGTAGCTTTCGCGACAGTTCCATGACTGTGCGCCAGATCGTGGCCACAGGACGTCATCGACCGGCATCAGCCCACACTTCTCCTCTTGTCCCCCAAACATGAGCTCATATCCAAAGACAACATTGGACCCTTTGAGGGTCTTTGTCCAGTATTCAAAGCAGACTCTCTCTCTCTGGCTGTGTATCTCTTGTCTCAACAAGTCTGTTTGCGTTGCCTGAGATCTATATTTTATGCATGAGTCAGGGGAATTCAACTCCCTCTGCCGCACTGACACATAGACGCCACTCAGCTTGTCTTGATCCAGGGAGCACCACCTATCCATGGCCGGTATCTGGGCACACATACACACACACACACACACCCACCCCGAATTGAAACGTGACTCTAGACGTCTACGCACAAAAGATGGGATTGGATACCAGACAGGGAGCATGCACTATATATTTGACTCCTTTGTGTACCTGAAAGGTGTATTTCAGTAATGTCTGTGAAATCTGGCATATCCCCTCACTCTCAAGTGGAAAACTTCAATTTACAAAAACTACAATTATAAATGTTTCCTTGGCAACTGACTTTAATTTGAGGTACTAAAATTACTTTACAAAATCTAGAATCAAACTAAAATGAAAAAGAAAATAATAAAGGCTAATTAAAAATAATTATAATATAATAATATTATATAAATAATACTGAAATAACACTGTTCTTAACAGCTTAATACTGTGTCAGGAAACACAACTAGCCAGAGACCATGTTTCAGTAAAATAGGACATCAATTTGCTTCAAATACTAATTAAAGACACTTTTTAAATAACTATAAAGTAATGAATGCAGTACGTGAAACATGGTAAACAGAAACACCAGAGGCTTTCATGTAAAGCACACTAATCAAAATCCAGTCTAATTCAATTCAATCCAATTTCTTTCAAAACTGTTTATTTCTTCTGAACATCACATGATGCTGATGGAATAAAGTAGTTGTAATCCTATGTCGCCCTCTAGTGGTCTTCTCCGATACATAGACTTTGTGATGGCCTGTTCAACACTTGTTGTTGTCAGGCTGTTCTGGTTTTTAAGTGTGTTGCTAGGATGGGTTGTTTTTTCCCCCAGGATGTCGCCTTCATGATATTCAAGTTGCATGATTTAAGGTTTCATTCATGTGTGTAGCACGAATGTACTACTGTATCATAAGTATGATCCTAAGTATGATCAATAGTTGTGATCCTTGCCTTAGACTTAAAAAATAAGTAAAATGACTGAAAGTTTCTTTTTGTCTAATGTTTATTGTCATAGTGTCTACAATTCTGCATCTATGGAATAAATAAAAGAAACCAATGAACAGTTATACATGAACATAAAACATAATGGAATGCAATGGAAGAACATTTAGAAGAGCATATAGGTTAATAACATCAACACTCAAAAGACTGTATATAGAATATTTAAACGTCCTGCACAAAATATTGCTCATCTGGCCATAGAAAATCACAACTGCTTTAAGGCACGTATAATAACAATACTTATGGCACAAGGAAAAATGTATGGAATATTTATCATAGAACAAGAACAAACATGAAGATGATCAACATTTAAATATTTTGTTTTGATGACTAACACACAACTATTTGCAAAACAAAATGAGCTGGGTCAGAATTACATGTAATTAACAATATCAGGGCAGGACTAGGGATATGCCGGTATCAAATTTTCATGTTGCGATTAATTGCTAATGCTTTTATCACGGTATGCGGTATTATCACGGTATTGAAATTTAGGATGAACATCATAGCAAATACACAAATCTGAATGGCTATTTAAATCGTAGTGCAGCTGCTTTGTTTACAGGGTTTCCGGGGTAACGGCTCTATTTAAATGATTATTATTATTATTTCTGCAGTTTAGCGCCATCTGCTGTCAGAGAGTGAAAGTGCGCGTTCAACCTGAGCGTCTCTCACATGTGCCGCCATGTGCTTCTTGTCCGCGCTTGTTTACATCAGAGTGCGCAAGCGTCTTTCACGCAGCATACATAACAATATCGTGCATATTCATTACCGTGATATATCGCATTACCGAATACCGGCACAAATCTAGGCAGGACATATTCTGGATGGATTAAAATATGACTTTGGTTACTGTATTGGACAGAGGGATGAACTGTGTCTGGAATCAAGAGCTGAAGTACAGAATACAAGGGCAACAGCAAGATGTACTGTAATTTAGCAGCTTTTTTCAAGATATATTAAAGTTTTACTATCTTTGCATATTTGCTGGTATTCCTTTAACCAATTCTTTGGCCTATTATTCTAATGAGTCCATCTGATGAGGAACTGATTGACTCATTAGAAATCCTGGAAAATGTCACATCTGACCATCAGTTTTTAAAGTGATGTCTGTGCGTAAACAATCATACAAAATAAAATGATTTAGAAACATCTGAAGTTGAGATTGACCAAAACTGGTGAACACGTCAAGACACAGATTCCTCTATCGTAAACTCAAATTCTGCCGTTTTGTATGGTAACTGTCCGGTAAACACATTTCTATACATAGTGGCAGTGCTCCCAAAAACTGCTTTCTAAACCATTTATGCAATTGCAAACTGTACCATCATGCTTTTTGTGGCCAAGGAAATTATCCAGAATAAAAAGTAATTTCAATGATACGAACAAAATGGAAAGATGCTATTCACTAAAAATAAAAGCTAAATCTAAAAACAACAGATCCACACTTTTCTGGTCTGGACAACATGACAAAACACATACTGTGCTTTGGACTATTAGGACACACTCGATAACAGGAAGAAATCTTTATACAAAGCTGAATTAAGGCCCACAGAATAACTTTAGTAAAAAAGTAATTTTCTCAACCGGAGTTATAACTTTAATAAAAAAATAAAAAAAATAAAAAAAAAAGGTATGGCTTTCAAGTCTGGAGAACTTATGAAACAGTCCTTCATCTCAGTAAACAAAATTCATTATCCAGCAAAGATGCATCTTGAACATCCCTAAAGTTGCCATGTTTCAGTTAACAGGCCTAACAAAAGTTGATCATCTCCAGTAGAGTGTCATAGAAGACATATGTCACATGTGATGAACAGCAGAAGCTCACAAAAGGACAAATATAATAAACATTTATGAATAAAACAAGGAGGTAAACCTAATGTTAAAAACACAGTATCACCGTCACATTCTTGTGTCCACTGGACTGAACACAGTCAGAGGTCTGAGGGATCAGAGGCACAGGGTGTGTGTACTTGTGTGCTTAATTCCCTGCACGCTCAAGACTGGAAGGTGCAGATGTGCGGTTCTGGCTTGAGTTTTGGATTCTTCTCAAAGACGTCTGGGTAATCCGGCTTCTTTGGTTTAGCTTCCTTTAGAGCCGATGTTTATTCTTTTTTGTGATCCTCGGGCGGATTGTCCAGGTCCAAACTGGGTTCTGCCACACAGCAATAACACAGCTTCTGTGTCTGCAATGAAACTGCATCTGAAAAAAGGAAAAAGATCAAAGATCAGTACGTGAAAATCATCCAGAATATTATATCAATCCGTGTACAAGACTACAGGCAGACGAAACAGTCAGAGAAGGCTATACTTCCTTGAAAACCTCTTAACTGGTCAGGTCCATATGTCTAAAGTAAAAATGTTATTGATTAATTTGCCTGCTTTAAAAACTTGAGGCTCAAGTTTTTTTTTTATGATTTATGAACTCAAACCATCAACGTTTCTAAAGACATGGTGATACTTTACATCATATGTCCATGTTATACATAATGAAAAGGGCTGAATTAAGTGAAATAAAAAAACTAATTATAAAATTACATTCATTTTAAATAAACTTACAGCAATAATAATAATAATAATAATAATAATAATATCTAGTGTGATTCATTCACAGTTTGAAGAAATTTGAGTTTGAAGTACCACTTTTATGTTTTAGAGAATTCAGTCAGCACAGCAAACCTTGTAAAACCAGACTTAAAAGTAGGTAACAAATTCAGCACATCATGCAATTCTATTAAAATTTGATTCGATTTAAAAAGTTTAACTGATAACAGCCCTAACAATTCAAATAGTAGCTTTTTATTCAGTTTCAGTTTTTACTGTGCGAGTGAGTGCCTGTGGAAGTTTTACTCTAATAATAGTAGGGTGTTCTAAGTAGTTGCAGAGACATTGTTATATGGTTGCTAGGGTGTTCCAGGTCGTTGCTAGGTGGTTGTTTACGGGGCTCAGACTAAAGAAACCACACCTGAATTTCTATGACATTCTTTCCCTAATCGTCTATATTAAGCACATTAGCTGAGTTTTATTACTCAATACAACTGCATCATAAACGATGTAATGTAAAGTATGACCAAACAAGAATCAAAAATGACTGAAATTTTTTTTTCTTCTCTGTAATGTACTCTGGATTCATGAAAGCCTATCTCAGTATAAGAACAGCGGTCTCAGATGGATGAAAACAGTGAAGTCATTGTTCACTGTAAAGCGATTTGCACTGGAGTACATATGGATCATTATATGGTTGGTCGCTGTGATTTTGCCAAGTAAGACATGTTCCTGGATCAACATCTTTTGTTGATCCTGGATCAACATTACTGTCCAAAAATACAGACTTAACCCAATCCCTACCCCTAAACCTAACCTTACCCATAATTTATTCCTAAAATCAGTGTGAAATGATAGCTCATTTACAAGGGTGTAGAAGCACCTAACCCTGATCGTAAGCCTAAAACAGATATTTCCTGAAAAGTTATGCCTCAATTCTGATTGGTTGATTGGAATGTTGTTCCAGGATCAACAAGGATGCTGATCCAGGAACATGTTGTACTTGGTGAAATCACGGTCACCTTATATGGTTACAATACTCCCATTTCATAACAACGCATTCGTCTTGGGTTCAAATTCATTACACATCACCACAATTATGTGTATATGCACCAAAACCCCTAGAAGGCAAACAGAACCTGGGTGTAGCACATAAAAGAATGTTTCAAAACAAAAACACTTCCAACAGCCTGCAGCAGAAACCAAAGCTGTGGAGGTACTGCAGGTGCCCAGCTGGACTACTAGAAATGAAACAAGAAAAACGAGAGATTCTTGCATGTTTGTGTGCTCACTCACCGAGCATGTGTCCCAGAAAGGCGGGTCGGGAGCTGGGCGGGAGGTGCACACATATGTAATACACAGGAGCCCCGGAGAGAGCGACGATGATTCCCACCAGAGAGTTTACAGTGTCACTGTACAGCGGTACGACCACCAGAAACACGCTGCACAGGCAGTACACTATAGGGAAGAACAGACTCAACTACACGGAAACAAACACAGAGAGTCAATTAAGCACATCATAAACCAGGGCAATAATGAAATAAAAATGTCAAATTTGTTGCAAGTATTAAATATATGACATTGGCAATTATCACAGTATTTTAAGGCATCATAAATGCGCTCCTGATGTGAAGGCTGTTCCATAAGATAAGAAACATTATCCTTCATTCTATGATACTTTATCTTGACTAAGAATCACACATATCCTTCAGAGAGATAGAGAGAAAGAAAAAGAGAGAAAAACGGTGCACCAGCTTAAAATGACGTGCTTATCAGAG